TCCCACGTTGTAATCCCACCCCATATCCCACCCTGTATCCCACGTTGTAATCCCACCCTGCATCCCCACCCCGCATCCCACGTTGTAATCCTCCCCGTATCCCCCTCCTTATCCCATCCTGCATCCCATGTTGCAATCCCACCCCGTATTCCATCCTCCATGGGTTTGTGCTGGTGGTGGAGGAACAACAGGCACAGAGAAGCGAGGGGAAGAGGCTGGGGCCTTAAATTCCTATGGGGGTGGAATAAAAGAAACCCCATTAGAGTTAACCGCAGAGCATGGAGGGGGGGCTCAGCTCCAGACCCCAGCCCCACTCGTGCACCTTTTCCTTGATGTGGGGCTGCATCGCGCTGCCCCCCCCAGCCCCTCACCATGGGGGACACCCGCACGGACACCCATGGGGTGACTGGGAATCGCCCCGCAGAGCACTGCAAGCACAAATCGGCAGCGGAGAACCTGGTTTTGGCGCAGCAGCTGCTGGAGGGAGAGGAGCTGGCGTTGGCCAAGGTAACAAAGGGCGCGGGACATGCACGCGATTCGGCGCAGGTGACCGCCATGGGGTGGGTGACGCTTTCCTGCCTCCTTTTCCAGGTGGCTGTGCTGCTGCTGTACCACACCTCCATGAGCTGCAAGAGCCCCGGGGACTGGAATGAGTTTGACTACAAGACTCAGGTAACTCCTCCTGGGCTCCTGAAGGTGCCTTTTGCGGGTGCTCCCAGACCTGCCCTTGTGTTTTGGGGGGCAGGGGTGAGTACTGCGGTACCGTGGGCGATCAGAGGCTGCCAGCTGCTGACTCCGCTGCTCCTCTGATGCAGGTTGAGCTCGCAGCCATCCTCAAATTCGTGCTGGACAACGAGGAGAGCCTGAATGAGAACCTGGAGATGTTTCTGCTGAGGAAAGGTGAGCCTCAGGCAGGCACTGGGGGTGTTTTTCTCCTCGCTGGACCAACACAACTCCTTGATATGAGCCACCACTTAATGTTTGCTGTGGTGACATCCAAATGCCGGCTCGGAGTGGGACAGAAACAGCCCAAAACCCTGCAGAGAGCGGCAGTGGGGGACACTGCGAGGGCTGAGCGCCGCTGGCATCTTTACAATCAGCTGGCACAGCTGATCCTTTTCTAGAGCATCAAAACATTGATTTTTTTTTTACCCCTATTTTGCCATAAAAGCAGTGACACCGTCCAGGTCCCCTCACCCCAGCACCGTGAAGTGGTTCCCTGTGAGCTCTTCTTTAAAGCAGGGGTTTATTGTGTATTATTCCTGCCGGGATGGGGATGTGAGGCAGGTTTATGGCTTTCTCTGATCCATCCCTGCTGGAATTTGCAGGATTTCGGCTGCTAAACCTTTCCTTTTTGGTATTAACTTGCTTCTCCCTTTGCAGCGCCGCTCTCCTCGTCCGGCAGCAGCTCCGAGGAGCACTCTCCACTGCTCTCCTTCCCGCACAAGCGAGAGGTGCGGTTCCTGGAGCTGCAAAAGATCGCCTCCTCCTCCTCCTCCTCCGCCAACAAGTAGGTCCCCAGCCTCTTGGCTGCTGGGGGGTAATCTGGGGATGGACAGTGGCCAAGAGGAGCAGGGCAGGGATCATCCCCTGTGCTGGGCACTGGTGAGGCAGCCCCTCGAATCCTGGGGTCAGTTTTGGGCTCCTCACTCTCAGAAGGACATTGAGGGGCTGGAGCATGGGCAGAGAAGGGCAAGGGAGCTGGGGAGGGGTCTGGAGCACCCGAATGATGGGGATCAGCTGAGGCAGCTGTGGGTTCAAGTGGAGAAGAGGAGGTGAGGGGAGAGCTTATCCCCTCTAGAGCTCCTGAAAGGAGGGGGTAGAGAGGTGAGTGTTGGTCTCTTCTCCCCAGTGACAAGCAATAGGACAAGGGGAAATGGCCTCAAGTTGCACCAGGGGAGAGTTAGATTGGATGTGAGGAAAAATTTATACTCTGAAAGGGTTGTCAGGGACTGGCAGGGGCTGCCCGGGGAGGTGGTGGAGTCCCCATTCCTGGAGGGATTTAAAAGCCGGGCAGATGAGATGCTGAGGGCCATGGTTTAGTGGTGGCCAGGTCCTGGTTGGACTCGATGATGTTTGAGGTCTTTCCCAACCAAACGACTCTGTGAAAGCCTCCATCTCCCTTCGCGCCACAGCCCCACGCAGAGCACTCAAACCTCTATAGCACATCCAGCAGCAATGCCAGCCCGGCCTCCCCAAACCCCCAGAGCCTTCCCTTGGCCCTGGGTTTGGCAGTGGCTTTATACACTCGTGCCCAACCCTTCGAGGCTGATGTTAGCGCGGTCGAGACGAGAGGCGTCCAAGTCCTTACTCTGAACCCGAGCGGCTCTGGCTGTGCCGTGGGCTCTGGGTAACCGAATTTTCCTCCGCAGCGCGCTGCCCGGCCCCCCATCCTCCCCCATGGGGGACGTGATGCAGACCCCCCAGTTCCAGCTGCGGCGGCTGAAGAAGCAACTGGCTTCCGAGAGGGAGAACCGGGACGAGCTGGAGGTGGAGCTGGCAGAGAACCGCAAACTCGTCACGGAGAAGGGTGAGGGCGGCTGCCAGGACCTCCTGGGGCACGGGGGGGCTCAGATCTCCTCTGGTTTCTGTGACTTTGCTACGATCTTGACCCCGCTATGGATGCGCGGTCCATCCTGATGGACCCTGAGCGAGCTCAGCTCGGGGTTGGCTCCGTGGTGGCGCAAGGGGAGCCTTCCCCGTTAATTTGGAAGCAGAGTCTTGCTGATGGGAGCCAAGACAGCTCTGATGCTGCTGGAACAGCTCTGAGCATCCCTCACAGATGGCTTGAGCTCTGCTGTGCCGTGAGGGGGCTCAGGGGACACACAGAGGTGGTAACGGGCCCTTTCTCGCCGCCCTCCGCAGAGGCGCAGATCTCCATGATGCAGCAGCGCATCGACCGCCTGACGCTGCTCAACGAGAAGCAAGCGGCCGACCAACTGGAGCCCAGGGAGATGGAAGAGCTGAGGGAGAAGAACGAGAGGTGATCCTGTGGGAATGGCCTGTTCCCCATTTTGGGTCCTTGTCGTGTCCCTCGGCTCTGTGTTTTCTGTCTCTTCCCCGGCAGTGCACAAAACAAGGGGGAGGGAAAAGCTTCTTGTGGCTCTCTGCAGAGGTGGCTTTGGGGGTTGTAAAATCACAGCGTGGGTGGGAAGGGACCTCAAAGCCCCCCCAGTCCAACCCCCATGGGCAGGGACACCTCCACCAGCCCAGGCTGCTCCAAGCCCCGTCCAACCTGGCCTTGGGCACTGCCAGGGAGGGGGCACCCACAGCTTCTCTGGGCAACCTGGGCCAGTTCCTCACCACCCTCACAGTAAATAATTTCTCACTAATATCCAGTCTAAATTTCCCCTCTTCCAGTTTAAAACCATCACCCCTTGTTCTATCGCTACCGGCCCCAACTGCCGGCCCTCCAGTTTGATCCAATTTGATCAGATCTGAACCGGGCTGTGTCACGCGCTCCAGTTCTGTCGCCTGCTGGGCTGTCCCCCACTCTTTGCCCCGTCCCTGCACAGCGGCGTTGTTTACTTGGGCAGGATGCCCGGGCAGGTGCCGTGCCTTTCTTTTTGTCCTCTCCTCACTTACTTCAGTTTGCAGAGCCCTGTTGCGGCCTCTGCCCTCGGAGTGGGCTCAAACATCGCTTATCCCCGCTCTGCTTTGCTGAATTTCTGGCGGTTTCTCCCCACGGCGCAGAGATCCCTCGGTATTGGGATTTTCTCAGCCCTATCCAGCTGCGATCTCCTCACCCTCCTTACTTTAATGACCTTGTTTTAACGACCCTGCTTTAACGACCTCCTTTCCCACAGCCTGATGGTGCGCTTGCACGAGGCCCTCAAGCAGTGCCAGGACCTGAAGACCGAAAAAGGCCAAATGGACCGAAAAATCAACCAGCTCTCTGAGGAGAACGGGGACCTTTCCTTCAAGGTACGGGGCGCTGTGTCCCCTCCACGTCCCTGCAGGGGATGAGATGAGCCCCAGGGGATGGATTTGATGGCGATGCTGGGGCTGCGTATGGCTTCACATGGCCTTGACCCAGCGACTGAGCCTGCCTTGGGTTCCAAATCCTCATCTGAAGGGAAACTGTGATGGGGGAAAGGGGAGAGGAGCTGAGCCCTGAGCAGCGTTGGGTGCTCTCTGATGGGTATTTTTTCCCTTTGCAGCTGCGGGAGATCGCCAGCCACTTGGTGCAGCTGCAGGAAGCCCTGAACGAGCTCTCGGAGGAGCACAACGCCGCCCTGGAGCAGTCACAGGAAAAACAGGGGCAGCTGGAGAGCGAGCTGCGCGCTGCCCTGCAGGAGAAGGTGAGGGGGACCCCCTACTCTGCCTCCTGCCCATCCCTGCTGCTCCTGGAATGGGATCTCCATGGCAGGACGGGAGGAGAGAAACCCTGAACCTGCTGAGATAAAGCTGCTGGAGAGCTTGATGTGGATTAAAGTGGGGTGACTGCACCCCTCTTGCTTGGCTCCCTCGCCTCGTGCTCAGTCTTGTGTCTCTGTCCCCAGAAATGCTCAGAGGAGAAGATCGAGATCCTCCAGGGGAAGGTTTCACTGCTGGAGGATCAGCTGGCCAAGCTGCGCGATTGCAGCGCCCAGGAGAAGGGAGAGGTCATGGGCGACGTCCTGAAGGTATGGCCAGGTCTCGAGAGCCCCTCGGGCTCCTACAGCAAGGGCTGGGATGGAAAACTGGCTGGGGAGTGCTTGGGGGGCGCATGGCAAAGCTGTGTGAGGCAGAGCCAGCTGCTCTTTGCCGTTGGGTGGGGGTTGTGGGGCTGAGCACCCTATGGGGACCCCTTTTTGTGCTGGATTTGGGAATATCACACCTAGGGAGCTGCAGGCTGCCCTGGTCTCCTGTAGCTTGGGTTGGCTGTGGAGGGAGAAAAGGCTTTTGGTGCCAGCGAGCGCAAGGCAAAGGGAGTGCTGAGAGGCACATGGGTCTGCGGTGAAGGTGTTGGGTGCAGCTCAAGGAATGGGTGTTTTATTTACCCTCTTTTCCTCTTGCCAGCTGGAAGAGCTGAAGCAGGAGGTGTCCAACCTCGCCGCGAAAGGAGCCGAGCTCCAGGCCACCGTCCTGCGGCTGGAGGAGGAG